AGTCGCAACACCCTGGGGTCACTTCTTTGTCAATCGCCAATTCTCAGATGAGCCGCCAGGCTAAAAATAGGCTCCTGAGAGCCTCCCAGGCCTCTGAGCATCAATTGCCATGCACTCCTGCACAACCCTAAGCAGGAGTGTGTCACCCTACGTCCAATGCTTCTCGCCACACACTTACCACCACCACCCTCACTGTCGCCAACCCTGGAGTTGAGAAATCGCCATGAAGTTCAACTCCAGTATCTCGCCAAATGATGATTGTTGCTCCAACTCATCAACTTCTTCACTGTCTGGTACCAACTGTTATGAACCTGGTTGTTTGTTGTGAGAAGACCAACACTCGCTCGCATAGACTTCCAGGTATGCCCATACATACACAGAAGGAAGGGCAGAGGATGGGAGTATCACACCGCACAGGGAGAGAGAAACACAGCAGAAGACTTGACCATGGGATATGACAGAAACCACTGAGAGTGCAATTCGCTCCACAGAATCCTCACAACCAGTCACAAAGGAAAGCCGAGTAGATCACATCCAGGAAACAATGAAGAAATGATAGTTCACACACAGTATAAACACTGTGAATTAAACTCAGAGTCTCGAGATGTCAGGATGACCCCAGAACCATGGTGCGCTGCTCAAATTGAGCAGCGCTTCACTCCCCAACCCTGAATAACCGCTAGTACCACCTCTGAGTCCCTGAAACATCAAGCGCCACCCCGATACTGCCTCCAGAGGGCAGCGCCACCCTGTAACAGGCCTCTGAGGCCAAGCGCCTCTCAGAGGATGAAGAAGAAGACCAGCGCCACAGTGTCTGATGATGATGAAGTGCCGGAGGACGTCCCGGGTGGAAGTCTGTAGCAGGGCCACCTCTCCTGACAAAGATGCTCTCTGAGGAAGAAAGCTGCAGCTATGGCTGCAGCGCCAAACACCCTGAAACCCTACTCCTGAGGAGGGTTCAGCAGGGCACCAACTTCACTTGCCTCCAGCAGACTTCAGATAGCCCGAACCTCTGAGCAGCCCCACGTGCTGTCAGAGTACAGTGCCGGTCCCAGCTATGGCCGACACTTCGCAGGTCCGGCTATGTCCGTCTTCACCAATGCTGAAGCTGTCACCACTTCCAGTTCATGCGTTGCACAGTAGCGACGTACATGGTACCAACTGCCAAAAGCCCTGAACCGATGTCTACAATCTATCTATAGACTTACACTACCCGCCTAGACCTAGACCGGACTGACTGGACCGACCGGTACCGTTTCAGTTTCGGCTTCTCGGCCTCTTCCTACCCGGGTATTGGCTACAGGACCGTCTATTGGCATAGGCCTTTAGGGCCTGTCCGTCCTAGGGGTAGCCCGGGCCTGCTGTTCGCAGTTAGGATAGCTGTAGGAAATTCTAATTAGTGCGGGCCTATATTTTACCGAATTTGCGGATATATCCCTCACGAGTTTCCCTACAGGCAGGTCTCTCGGTTAGCCCTCAGCCAAACAAAACAAGGAATCTAACCTACCTATGTTACAGCCTCGGGTCGACGGGTCACCGGCGGCAGAAAACAGCAAGTCATTGCACCTGTCTGTGCCCCACAGGGCAATATGACCGGGTTATTGCGCCACCCCTCGCTTCCTGTTAAACCCTATCTTCTACCCCTTTCCTTCCTCCCTTCCCTTGTGTTCTACCAGTAAATGCATACGAATGAGCATGATTAAGAGAACAGACAAAATATAAGCTGAACATATGGAGAAAAATGAACAGGAGTATACCTCCCCCTTTACCCTTCCTCCTTTCATAATGTGCAAGTGTGCGGTGAAGGCACACAGGGATGTGGGCAGCTGGCGCTAAAACACAATCAACGTGGCCAGCCTTGTACGTGAGAGGCACACTAAAAAGGGAGCTGCAAGAACAAATAGAAGGGGTACCCCGACGAAAGCCAAAGTAAAGAAAGCCAAGAAAAGGATATAGCGGATCTATTCTGCTCCATGTTGCCTGCTGCTATAGAGGTAAAACTGTTTCACTGTTGGAATAACTTATCTGAAGCCTGCTTCATTGTCTGCAATAGAGGTAAAACTGCATCAATTTTGGATCTACTCATCTGGATGGAACAGGGGCTGTAATGGTGACAGAGAGAGACACACACAACCTTGCATTTTCTATTAGATTGTCTATCTATACTTTTTTTGTTATGGATGGTTTGTTATGATTTGTGGAGGAAATGATAGAGAGAATTTGGGGTGCTTGAACAAAACACACACACACACCTTGCAAGGTTGGTGTGAGTAAAGTCGACCACATTTCTCAGGGGTGTCACTAACTCTGGGCGATGTGGTGATTCCTTATCCACCAGTCAAATGAATCCTGGGCAGACTGTCGGGGTTCAACCTCCTGATGAGTCGGTGAAAGCCCGGCGAAACAGTCTGGCACAGTCATGCTTTTTTTGAGTGTATAGCGAATATGACCACACACACACATGCACACACACACACACGCACACACACA